ATTCAGCAGGAAGCAGCTGTTCGAACGAGAAAACAGTTCTTTTCTTCCAATGGGTCGCCCTCCAAGCCAGCCAGCCCGCTCCATTCCTCGCTCCATCTGACAGTCCCAAAAGACGAAGAATCGGGAGATCACCGAATGGCATATCGTTCCACATGAACCGTTGTGACTGCTGCAGTGATCAGAAGAAAATGAGAGGAAGCCTTTGATAGGCTCGAACGATGGGAAGAGAGCGAAGTAGCACCTGTGCCAACATGAGCATTGCCGGCGAGGTAAGCCAACGGTGGGTATGGAGATGTACAGGGCGGCAATGAGCTATCCTGGCTGCCGGCACACAGGAGGATCAATGTACATTGTGGAGATATTCGAAAAATGTAAGACGATAACTAGAATCTCGTGTAGAGATATTTTGACGATCTCAATGGGTTCGTGTGGTTTAGGTCGAAGGAAAGTCACGTCAGGGTCACGTGGCACAGCATTGTCAGAAGTGTTCGCGGGCCGGGACTGTGTCACCGTGTCACGGCCCACTCTTGGATCCAAACCACCACCACCACCACCACCGTCTACACCACTTACTTTCAAACCCCAATCGAAGATTGAGCAGAGGCCCAACTTGTCAGTTGATGGAAGCTTATGCGGCAACAACGATGCCAGGACCACTCAAGAGATCGAGAGAAGCAGGGTCCTGGGCTAGCACCGATTTGGGTGGGTACCGTCGAAAATCATCTCAGTAATTAGCAGCAAGTAAAACGTCTCAGTAGAACCTGCAACTAAAAAACGGTGCACCAAAGCTGCTGAAGAGTACACAGGCAAACTCAGTCTTCTGCCGACCATGCCTCTAGACGTGCTATACACCGTATGTCCTTTTGGCATTTACTCTTTCCCCCTCGTCTACTTTCACGTTGCGATCCCTCTGTCCAGATTTTCAGCTTCCTCCCGCCGAAATCACTCTTCTCTCTCACTCGCCTGAACCGTCTATTTCGATCGACTTTATTAGCTCCCGAAACAGTATCCGTGTGGACTCGAGTTCGCAAGTCGTGCGAGGCCCCAGATCCATGGGAAGAGATGGACGAGGTGCAGTGGGTTCGACTGTTATTTGGGAACACAAAATGCTCGGTAAGTACACTCCTTTCATCGTTCTCCTTCCATGGCGCCGATCTCATTACCACCACCACCCGCCAGTTTTGTGGTGCTAAAAGCGTACGAAAGATTGAGTTCATGTTGATGGCTAGGGTATGCTCCGCATGTGTTAAAGCAAAGTGCGTTGATCCTGCTCGCGTTAGCAATCAGCGATAGTGATAACTGCCGATTTTGGATTCAAAGTGGAGTCAGTAAAGCCCAACTCAAACGAGACTATCCGGACGAACACAAGCTCGTTGTGGATCTGGTCCAGCCTGCGCGTGGTATCGGTAAGCCTCGACGACTTGCTATCGGTTGTATTGGCTCGTATTGTTGAACATTTTACTGACGGTCTGGTATGGCAGGTAGCCAAAGAGCACGTTCCTACAACAGAAAGGAAATTGATCGCGCCCTCGAGCAAGTCAGGAAGTGTGTTGATGAAGTCGAGTTGGAGACATATGTGAAGGAACGGAAAGCCTATATGAAGAGGCTGGTTGCTGTACGTTTATCTGTTAAATCTATCGAATGATTTCTCATCAACCGGCGCTCTTAGCATGCGGATCTGTGTTACAAATGGGCCGCTGACGAACCTGAGAGAAAGGCAAAAGATGCCAATCTCATGAGGGCAGAGAGGTTTGCTGCGTACGTGCCTCCTCTAGTTATTGCTCGATACCTCTTGTTAACCTTCGTTATCAGAATCAAGAAACGACTCAAAGAATTGGGTTTCGTGGACCAGGACATTGAAGTTATCAGAGATCACTATGAGGTCACAAAAGATCGACCTTTGACTGAACGTAGTACGTAGTTTCACTCTATTCCTCTAAATCATCTTGACCTCACCATCTGTTCAGCTTGGGCGCAACTCAAACCGCGTCTCTCCGAATCTGTGCTCGATTTTCGAGTTAAAAGGCTCCTATCTGACATGCGCAATTCACCAGATACCGCCGCTCCTCTTGCTATAAGTGCCTCTTCCGGCCAAACGCAACACCCTTCCTTTCTTATATCCCGTTGCAACCTTGTCACTCAACATTACATCTCGTACAAACGCTCAGTCACTCTCACTGAATGGCGAGGAGATCTCTTTCCGTCCGTGGAAGCCGTGTGGTGCTTACCATCCATGAGACGTCTTATCGCGTTACCGGACGAGGCGGAGGTCACGTTAGAGATGGTTCAGAACCCCCCAACGACGGTCAACATCGACACATTTGCATATGAGCTTCGATTGGGCATGAACCATCTCGAAAAAAGAGTCACCGACGACTACGTCTATGTAGTACAGAAAAAGAGAGGCATCCTCAGAAATTGGATTGATCTCAAGGAAGTTGAAAGCCCCAGTCGGTGGAAGGTCCCCTGGGATCTAGCGGCCGTTCAAGGGAGATGCTCGATTTGCCGAAAGGTCTTGAGCTCGGTGTTGACGTCGATACGACACTCGACGGGTCCTTGTTTTCTCAAGTCGGATCCGGATTTCTCCAGGTCTTTGAAGTTTGGTATGTGTGCCTATCTGAGAACGTTGGACATCTTTTGGTCGCGTTCGGCGGCTGGGCTTGTGTGGGCCACTTTGGGCGCGGAGAGGATGTGTCATGCCCAGGCGAGCGAGATGGATGAGAGAGGGGAATGGTATAGGTGTTTGAGGTGTACCAATGGGAATTTTGTTGGGACGTGGAGGGAGTGTGTGGGTATCTTTTCCCGTTTTTTGTCTTTGAGATCATGCTTCTGACACTTACGGCTTCATATTTGGGTAGATCGTTCACGCTTTCGAGGAAAACGGTACTATCAGCCCTTCAAAGCACGAGGACATACAAGACCAGGGACGTGATAACCCAGTATTCCAGATCCTCACACAAGAGGAAGCACGAGGGATGAACTTGAGGGATGAACGAGAGTGTTGGTCGTGCGCCCACTGTACTGTCAATGCCGAACGACTTTGGACGAGGGAAGTTGTAACAGAGCATTTGAGGGACGAGTGAGTAGTCTATCTATCTATCACCTCAAAATCCACCTCGCTGAAGGGTTTCTTTCCAGGCATCGAATTCTGGAGTCACGAGTTCCACGGGACTTCTTCTATGCAGCCTCGGATGAAGCATAACCGGATCATGTATGGAGGAGACGGGCGGGGATGTTGCGTGTAATCAGCCACGGGATCTATAGCGATGGTAAAATAGAATCTTAGTACATAATTCCCCACAATCAATCCCTGCCCATTATCACGGTTTACAGTCAATACGTCTCCATATACATGTATCGTAAACCTTAATGTCTATGAAGGATAATATAACCTTGATAGAACCGGTAGGAACGGCGAGTTAGCTTTTGGCCAGCACATTCGGCAATGAATGCTGTCCCGACCGGGATCTGACAAAAGCGTGGGAGGTAAGATACATGATCCAAGATCCTGAAGGGCAAACGACATAGATGGTCGCAGACTAAATGCGAAGGAGAAGAAGTTAGTTGTGGGGAATGAATATCGAACAGAGAGCCAGTGATCAGTCCCCCGAGCCGAAATAGAGGCGGCGGGGACAAGATGCGGTGTCAACCTCGCTGAAAGAAAGGCAAAAGATACAGAACTCAAACTCTTGACCGTTTTTCTTGACGAGAGACGGGACGATTAGGACAAACACTTCTTCACGACTGCACTCACCAATCATTTGCCGAGACGAGTTGCGGGCCACGGGAGTATAGTCCAACATTGTAAGAATTGATGATCTCGGACTGAGCAGCTAGAGGCCGAGGCTGCACCTCTCTCGAGCAGTTACCGTAGCTAAGGCGACGATGAAGAGAGGCCCGGGGAAGAAGTGCATTCGTGAGCAGTGAGAAGTAGTGAGTTGGAACTGTGAAGGGGTTGCTCCCTTTCAACACGAGCCTTTTGGATACTGTCAAAGAATATATGCGTACACGCTCGACGTTGTTGAGAGCCCCTAGCATCTCATCTCAGCGCGCTGGAGTTCGAGCCTACTGCAGTCACCGAGGGCTAGGGTGAACCATTCCAAAAAAGCGCTCGGAAGTCCTTTGCTTACCGCCAGCATCATACTCTCGAGCTCACAGGAGAGTTCACTTTCTCTCCCAATGCAGGACCGTCGACCAAACAACTTATTGTGCCGTGCAGCAGCGAGACAGATAGTCAGGATGTAGAAAATGAAAAGAGACACTCAAGACTGCGAATGACCGCCGCCGTGGTCAAACCTGCAATTTCCCGATTACGGGTATCAACTCATTCAAATCGTAGTTAGACGCGATGCCATTTCGCTAGGCGGCCTACATATGTGCAAATTTGACCAAATGGCAATATTGTATTCTCAATCAGGTAAGACGTAGAGAATAACCTTGGGGAAACGAAATCCGGACGTTCTAGATCCAGCAAAGCCTCTTAATCGAAAGAGACCAACGAGGCTGCGAGAAAGATATTGGAAAACAGACATGGATAACCCCAGGGGGATGACAACGAAACATGATACACCGCAGAGAATTGGCGGCGATGAGAGAAAAAGGTATTCGTGACCAAGGTTCCCAACACTTTCCCTATGAAAACTCTATGACTATCCGATCCACACAAACCCTCCTAGGGAGCGGGGGAAAGAAGATTGCAATTGTCCGAGAACGACAAGATCAACGTCATCTTGATTAATTGGGCTCGAAGGAAGAAGTAGGAACCGAGCGTCAAGGGAGAACAAATGACCAGGTGACACTGGCTGAACGATATGCATCGGTGGTCATGGAGAACGCAGGAGAGGAGGTGAGGTAGAGGG